ATGGCACATTAATGTTATTAAAACTGGTGTACGTAGACAGGTGATATTCTCCACACCACAGGCAATATTCATGTCTCAGTGTTTCGATTTAAAGAATACTTCTTATATACTCAAATACAGCTATACTTATATGTATATCTTCATACACTTTGGTATCACATTACAGTACCATCTTGAATGTTATTGCATCCTCAGACAGTTATCAATGTGATAGTTTTGCTGACACTCCAGTGAGTGGTCAACTGCACATGAACCATGTCATTTATTACAATTAAGTGAATCGAGCTATGCAGTATTGGAAACCTCCCCATATGCCCTGCTCCACATGGGTAGGAGCATTCTGCATCCAATTCGATAGGCAATTAATGCTTGTTCATCATGTGAATGGGATATGTTGGAAGAACCAGTTTTCACCATCGGTCAAATCTGCTTTTGCGAACAGGCTCTAATGCAGACTTATATGTATATCTAGAAATTTCAGTACAATTTTTTTTTTTTTTTTTTTTTTTTTTTTTTTTTTTTTTTTTTTTTACATGAGTTACAGCAAGAATTCAGCATTTTGAATGCTTCAATATTATAACAGGGTTGCTACTTAAACAGGAGAATGCAATTCCCTGACTTTTCCAGGCGTATTTTAAGAAAATTCTCATCTATCCACATAGTGTGCGTCGGCTGTTCTGGAAATAAATTAATTATGGTACCATTCGAAAACACAAAAATTTGCCAACCAAAGCATTACTATTAAAAACATAATAACTGTTTTCTCCACTGAAGATAGAAATCAGAATCTGCCCAATCTAAATTTTAAAATGTCCCCTTTTTATAGACATTTTGCAGCTAAACTAAAGAAAAATCTATTTAATGATATTTTTAAATAAATTCAGGTATTATTTATTTATTTATTTATTTATTTTACTTACTTAGCAGCATACATAAGCAAAAATTATGTGCATTAAATTTCATAATGGTATGTCATCTTACTGCTAAAATTAGTTTCAAGAGTATGCCAGATAAAACTGCCTGGAAGTTGTACAAGTATTAACTTATCATAAAGAAATTTAGAAGGAATTAGCCACATTAAATGATACAAATAACATTAAAATAAAGTTAATTACTTAAAGTTTAAAAGTTGAATTACAATAATCAACAATTTTTTGAATATAATTATAATAAATGGTAAGCCTAGATGGCTGATAACTATTTTTACTTCCTTGTACGAAGTAAAAAGGAAGTATTGTAATCACGAAAAGTTTCAGGCAGCATATTTCAATGAAAATATCCATTTTGACCGCTATCGAATGCAATTTAACGATGTTTTTGCGTCATATCTGTACGTAAGGACAGAATAAAATACTCTTTCCTCCAAAAAAATTATAAAACTGCTTTAAAATTAATTCTGAAGAGAATTTTTCGTGGCGTCTGTACGTACGTATCTCGCATAACTCAAAAACGAGTAGCCTCAGAATGTTGAAATTTTGTATAACTGAACACTGTAACATGTAGATGTGTACCTGGTATTTTGGTTGCAATCGGCCGCACCAAACGTATATAAATATATTTATATATATATATCCACTCTATTACCCGGCTCAGTGATCTCAGTTTCTTTACCCTTATATGTTTGTAAATTGTACATTTTTTTCTTTAAAGATGATTGAATTATATTGTTTTTATCTTCCGGTTAAGGATTTTATGCCTTTAGTAAATCTGTGTGCAATATTTTTAGAATTATCAGCAATTTTAAAGTTGTTTAATTGCCGCTAAGCCTGTTTTTAATGCCGGCCATTGATGTTTACATTTGAAACAGGAGACTAGTGGAATTGTTGCCAATCTAGAGAAACTTAGCTTCGCAACAACAAAGATAACGCATTCATTTATTATTGCCAATTAAATCATGCTTAATTCTTTCTGGAATTTTTTCGAGGAAATAAGCGTTTGAGATTTACTTCCTAATTTTTAATATAGATATTTTGAGTTTTTGTGTATTTTTGCCTTCTCGAGAAGTGAGAACTGAATTAATTAAATGAGAAATACTCAATCGTCTGTGAAAAACTGTTTCTGTTTTGTTTACTTAATTTCTTTTATACATAGTTCTAGCTTTATTATAGTATTTGAATAGAACATGGGGCAACGATTAGATAATTCTTTAAATGATATACATTTTGTGCATTCTGAGTTATAATAATAATGAAATATAATACTGTTAAGTAAACCTAGCGCCAGAGTGTCGCTATGCTAAACAAAGTGAATTTAAAGAATGCATTTATTCTATGTGTTTTATTATGCGCTTTCGGCGAAGTAGGTTTAATTCAATCTAATAAGTTTAAATAAAATGCAAGAAAAAATGCGTATAATTTAATATTCCGTACAAGGAAGTCATGTGGTGTACACATCAGATTTTTTTATTTTACTGCAAAATGACAAATAAGGCATTTATTGAAAGAGGGGGAAAGGTTTAAAAGATTTTGTGGTAAAAACCTAGTATATGATACGACCTTGGCACGATTTTGAAAACTGTCGCCGACACCAAAATGGCCCATTTACTGATCATCATAATGTCGCCAAATCCCGTGTGCAGGGTAGACTTGATGAGGCCCTAAGGTATTTGAGATATGGGGCCCTTTATAAGTCCAGATATTATATGTCAGTGCCAAATATGATTTTTGGATACTTAGAGGGTTTTGGGGGGAAGCACCCAAGAAAACGGAGGCCCTAAGCTATAGCTTGTGTAGCTTATATGTAAATCGTGCAAACCAATTTTGTTTTATATGAGAATGGGAATGTATTTTTTTTTTTTTTTTTTCCAACATGCACTGCAAATGCGTATGTATGCAAAGCACTCAATTCTCGGGGTTACTGAAAACTTGCTTCGCCTTTCTAAAAGACAATCTGATTGGAGCTGTGAAAATTGGCTCTACGCCAGCTGCCTAAAGTATGCTCACACGATACATAATTCCCCAAGAAAGTGATTGTTTCCAATGTTGGCATAAAAAAATTTTGGGGGGGGGGAGGGATCACCATATGAAATTCCCAGACTTTTCCAGATTTTGTCTAAAATATTTAAATTCTCTGACTTTTTAGTCAATTTTCGAATTTTCTGACTTTTCCTGGTTTTCCAGATAGCGTGACAACCCTGCTGTAAGTTTTAATCCTTTACTTTTTACTTCCTTGTATGAAGTAAAAAGGAAATATTGTAAGCGCGAAAAATTTCAGGGATCATATTTTAATGGAAATATCCATTTTGACCACTATCGAATGCAATTTAAAGATGTTTTTGCATGGCATCTGTATATAAGGACAGAATAAAGGTCTCTTTTTCCCCCAAAAAAAATTATAAAGCTGATTTAAAATGACTTCTGAAAACATTTTTTCGTGGTATCTGTATGAACGTATGTACGTATGTATCTCACCTAAATCAAAAACTAGTAGCCTCAGAAAGTTGAAATTTTGTATATAGGACTGCTACAGCATGTAGATGTGCACCTCCTATTTTGGTTGCAGTCAATCGCACCAAAAGTATATAAATATCCACTCTGTTACTCGACTCAGTGAACTCAGTTTCTTTATTCTTATACGTTTGTAAATTGTGCATTTTTTGCTTTAAAAATGATTGAATTATGTTGTTCTTATCTTCCGGTTAAGGCTTTTATGCTTTAATTAACCTGCATGTAATAGTTGCAGAATTATCAACATTTTAATAGTTGTTTAAGTGTGGCTATACTTAATTTTTTTTTCCTACAGCAGCCATATTTGTTTACATTTGAAACTTAGCAGAATAGTCGATTTGTTGCCAATCTAGAGAAATTAAGCTTCGCAACAACAAAGTAATGTCTTTTATTACTGAGAATTAAATTACGCTTAATCATTTCTCGAATTATCATTTAAGTTATTAAATTATCCCATATATTGACTCAACATTCACTACAAACTCGGTTTCTACGCCTTCAGTGTCTTTTTGCCAAGCGAGACCAAAATTAAACTTCAGGTTTTCTGCACCGAAAAATCTGTCTTTACAATTTTTACAATTAAAATTACACTTTCTATGAAAAAACAAGCAATTCGGCTTGTTTTTTCATAGAAAGTGTAATTTTAATTGTAAAAATTGTATTTTAAAAATTTTGTAAGTGTATTTGTTTTTCTATATCTATAACTTTTTAAAGAACATATTCTGTATTTTTATTATTTTTGCCTTGCCGCGAAGTGAGAGCTGAATTAATAGAATGAGAAATACATCTCTAATGAAATTCGAGGAAATAAGTGTTTCATATTAGCAGAAAATACTGTCGCCAGTCTGTTTCGGAAAGAGCAGAATGCTCACAAGTAGCCCAATGCGCATTAGGTAAGCAGCGCTGAATCGTCTGTGCAAAACTGCTTATTTTTTATTTGTTTAATTTCTTTTATACATCGTTTTAGATTTATTATAGTATTTGAATAGAACATGTGGCAACAATTAGGTAATTCTTCAGATGATATATATTTTTTTTTTTTTTTCATTCTGAGTTATAAAATGAATGAGATGTAATGCTGTTAAGTGAACCTAGTGCCAGAGTATCACTATGGTAAGTAAATATAGTGACTTTTAAAAAGTGCATTTATTCCATTGTGGTTTATGCGCTATGGATGAAGTAGATTTAATTCAATTCAATAAGTTTAAATGAAATGTAGGAAAAAGTGCGTATAATTTAATATTCCTTACAAGGAAGTCATGTGGTGCACACATCAGATTTTTTAAATAAAGACATTCCCTCTTTGTGAAAAAATAAATATTTATTAAAATAACAAGAGTTAGTCTCTTGGAAAATTATGGAGTGTTGTCAATTAAGACTTATTTTAGACACCACCAAAATATTTACAAATATTATTATTCTTATAATGAATTGTAGTATCTACAACAAAAAATATCATACTTTTGCTTCTACCTTTTATAAAAAATATAAAGTGGGAATGGAGGGGGCGGAGAAAGGTTTTTATGAAATAAGTTAAAAGAAATGATGTTCTGATAATTTTTCAGTAAACTATATGAGTTTTAGAGTCTCACCTCTAGGAGGAGTAAGTTCTATTCCATTGCTCTCACAGAAACCCACAGGAAATATGCAGGGGGATGAAGCATGATAGCAAAACCAATCTGAACCATTTGCAGCCATCATACCATCAATACCTATCATAAGGTAGTTATTTCTTAGAACTTCTGTAACAGTGGCCACACAGATTGTAGATAGATTTAAAGGATCTATAGCTTCCAACTTCATACCTTCTTTGAACTTAGAATTCCGTACTGGATTATACACCTAGGCAAAAATATTTTTTTTTTTTTTGTAATTAAGAAAATGAATTGATTTCTTAATGTAATTAAGCGAAAATACACACACATCTATGTAATAATTTAGAAGCTGTTGATATTAGATGCATAAAGGCACAGGAATGAGCAATTTTAATATTTTTTATTCTTATTGATAAGCTTTTCTTAAAGGCAACACAAATAAATTGGTGCAATAAATGTTACTCTTTAAGAACTGAAATGATGCTTTCTACATTTAAAAAATATATTCAAAGAAAAAAGCAGCAGCAGCAAACTGGCAGTAGTGAAGTAAGACAGAAAATACAGTGTTATGAAAAAGATGAAAGTCTGATTTGGTTTCAGTTCGCATTTAATCCTTATTGGTTAATAAAAAGTTTTGGTTCCCAAATTAAAATCAGTATTAGCTGAAGCCTTCATGCATTATCTGACATTGGCCATGACCACACTTTCAGTCCTTGTATGGTTGTGGGGAGGGGTTAGCAGTTTTCTTTCTAACTTGAACAGTATGTGAAGCCTCAAGACATATTAGTTTCGAGATGGATGTTGCTCACGCTTGTTTTCTTTTATTGACATAAAACGAGGGAGAGAGAGATTCCAAGGAACTTAAATTCAATCAACATGGCAAATTGCACACTTCCTAAATTTTTAATTTGAATCAGCTTATTATTTTTTGAAAGCTATTATTATTGAAGCTATCTTATCTAAATTAAAGTCTGAACTTTCAATTATGTAAAAAGGAACTTCTAATTCTGGAGCTGTTGCAGAATCTGCAAAGTGAGTCAATAATTCAAAAAGAGTAATCGCTGCAAACAATGAATTAAAGCAAATCTTTCTCAAAATTATGCGAGAAGTATAGCACTAGAGTCTCAACAGAATACGATATAAAAACAAAGAACTGAACTTCCCCCCCCCATTCTAACACTTTACTTAAATAAATAACAGAAAAATCATTCATTATGCTAGAAATGATAATCACGACAAAGCGATGGTTGCACAGGTGAGAAACCATCACAGTAGTGGTATCCCATTGGCGGGTTCAATGTTAATGGCTCAAGCCAAAATATTTCATGAAAAAATGGACTTAAAAAACCAAGTGCCCATATTTGATAGGTTGACTAATCAAACATAATTGAACATAACTGAACAAGATATTAAGTTTATTTATAAAATTAAAGAGAATGTATTAGCACAAAAAATGAAGCAACTTCAAATGATTTACATTGAAAAAGATGCTTAATAAACCATATATAAACTTTTATTTTTTACTCATTTATTTATTCACTTATTTACTTCTTTTGTAAATTTGAATTTTCTTAAGGTCAGAAATGTTTCAATATTTCATAAACAACTAATTTACATTTTTAATTTTTGCATTATGTCATTATTATTTTTACATTACAAGCCATCTTACTAGATTTGAACTGGTGATCTAAAAACTGGAATTGCCGAAGTCCCAATGCTTCCAAATCTTGGACTTTATACTATGTTTGTGTGTGTATTTATAATAAGCTCTTAAGATGTGGAGCTTAAATCCCACTAATTCACATTTAAAAGAAACATTCATTTTTCTTCATTTTTTTAGATGAATGAAAAAATTTTAATATACTAATAAATTTATATCATGCCAAAGCAATAGCAATAACATTCTACAGCCATAATCATAACAAAGAAATTCTTTCAATAAACACAGTTAATAAAAAATATAAAAATTCATTTTAAAGAAACTATGATATATGAAACATAACATAAATAAATAAATGAAATTCAGAACACAGCTTTAGTTTTAACCTTTCTTTCAGCATTCTAAAAATGTCTAAAATTTATTTATTAAAACTTTCATTATGCCCAAGTAGTATAAAATAAGACAGCTTAAATTTTAAACCATAGAATTACAGCTTACAAAACAGCCACTACATTATATACATAAGTGCAGGGTCTCTTGAAAGTGAATGGACATCTTTCAGTTTTCAAAAATAACATAAAAATATATCTATTGAAATTTTAAAATGTTGCATGTTTCTGAATATAAGCCAATCCTGTACAAGCAAAGAGTGTGCTTATTCTTCAAAAATTTATCCAAAATTCAAAACCTGTGTATAAATTGCATGGGGGGGGGAATCTTGTAACGTTCAATCATGTTGCCAATGAACATCTTTTAGTTTCCAAAAATAACATAAGAAATTCTAAATTCATTAATGATAATCCAGAAAATAAAATTTTAAAATACTGTATATTTTTGAATGTAAGCCAAGAGTGCATTTTTTCTAAAAAAATTATCCCAAAATTCAAAAAACTTGTAACGTTAAAAAATGTTATAATGAGGGCAAAAATGTTGCCCAGCAGGTTAAAGGGTGGAATATAATCCAATCCAACTGCTGTAAATGCAAACGATGTCAAAAATGAAATTGCGAAATGCTAATAACAATAGTGAAAGTCAAATTGCCCAATGCCAATGACAACAGTTTTAACCCTACCTGAAACTAGCATATTTTCACCATTTGTTGTCTTATACATGATCTGTGTCATTTTAGTTTTGTCTGAAAGATGACCCGGAAGAGAAATTCTTACATGGCAAATTTCAAACTACAGATGGCCCAATTTCCTGAAAGTTCTAACAGTATGGCTGCATGGCATTTGTCCTAACTGAAAAACAAGTTTCAGAGGGGAGAAAAAAGAAAAAAAAGAAAAAAAAAAAAAAAATCTTGAATTAATGGAGATGACAAAATCCAAAAAGGTAGCATGTGGTCATTTTCCATTTGCCAGGTATAAATTTCATCAGGATCAGATTTTTAAGTTTTGACAATGGCACAATAAACCAGCAATTCTGAAAATAAAACAACTCTTAGTGAGTAAAAAACATCATTAACCTGCACTGAAGTAATGGACAGCATTTCTGCAGGGTGGTGCAGAAGCTGCTTATGAGTTGTAACATAATTGTTTTTAAGAATTTTTTATTTAATTTTTCTCTTTTAGGACTGTAAAGAACATTTGGGAGATACACCATGAAGAGGATGAGTCCTAATCGATGCATGAAATTGATAGAACTTTATTTTGGAAAAGGACCCATCATCCTCACACAAATAGCATACTGTTGGCACTCCAATGTTATCATCCCACTATGATTCTCCATCTGGTTTCACACTTTTGGCAACAGTATTCAATTTGGGGTCGCCCAAAAATGAGTATATGGCATTTGGTTTGAACTCCCCAAAACATTCAACGACTGAGGGACAGCATTAATGATAACCTCATTCTTGGGCAACAACAGCTGAATAACGCAGCTGAAAGTGTGCAGTCAGACAGAGAATCGTAGTCTGATGAGGACATCTGAAATGCTGAAGTGCCGATGGTATGCCTTTGAGTGAGGATGATGAATTTTGGTTTTCAAAAAGTTCTGTCAGTTTCATACATTGTTTAGAACTCAACTTCTGTTGTGTATCATCCAAATGTACTACACAGTCCTGAAAAAGAAAATAAATAAATAAATAAAATAAGCAAATTACAAAAAAAAATTATGATGCATTGCAAGCCATGCATGAATCCTGTGCCATCACAAATCATCTCAATGAATTCTCAATATATATACAGTTTATACTATTTCAGAATTTTATTATTAAGGTTACTGCTAAAAAAACAGAAATTCATAAAATAGTTCTTCAGGTGGAATGGCCACTAGCGACTATATGATAAAGTTGCTGAACACTAGTAGTTAGACCTAAGTTCAATTCCCAGTAAATAGTTTCATTGCATAGGATATTTTGTGGTTTTTCCCAAGTATAGCAGGAATAGGATTCACTTTCCCTTAAAAAAATGTTACTCGCAGCATCATGGAACTCAGAATGAAAGGAGGCTTTGAAAACCATCTAAGATGTCTGTTGAAAAATTACAATATTTATGGTAGTGTTGTAATTAAATATTAAAATAATAAGGACTGAGTGCTCTGAGACTAGTAAAACCATATTAATCATATAAAATATCTGCTAATCCAGAGACTATAAAAACAGTGATCGAATTTTTGGAATATGATGATCAGGTGACAACGGCAAATTTTATAATAGGAAAATAATTGAGAACCTCTGCTTCCCTTTCCAAAAAAGTCTACGAAGAATAACTTTGAACATCAAAATAAGGCAATATTTTTAAAAGTTAATTTAACATCTTTGATTAAATGGGTAGCTTGTACTGCAAGAAAAACTCAATTTTTTAAATTAGTAAAATTAGTTACCTAATTTAATAACTATAAAACATTTTTTGAAAACACATAGCATATTATGCCTAACACAGATTAACATTAAAAATTTTTCAACACTATATTCAAATGATTTCTTTTACTCACAGGTAGAAACATATCCCAAGTAGCATCATTTGATTCAAATGTCCGATACAGAGTTTTCTTCAATGACTGCCGAGCATATTCTGTTTTTAAAAAGAAAGAGGAAGAAAACGATTTATATTAAAAAAAAATCAGAGAAAAACAAATTTATCACTTAAAGAAAGATACAGTTTTTTATGTGAAAATTGTTTAAGCTCAAAATGTCTTAATCATCAAAAGCAAACTCAATGAAGTCAAAAAAAAAAGTAAGGAATGAAAGAATATTATAAATAACAGAAAAATTAAAGATACTAAATTTTATATAAAATAAAGAGGAAAATATAAAAAATATAAGTTTAATAAAAATACACACAATAAAAGAGTACCTTCAAGCAATTTTTATTGCTGATATGTAATGATGATAATGAATAAATACTTTAATTTAGCTAACACAATCTCGCTCTGGCTACCATTGTAAATAATAGCTTTTTACCCCCCCCCCTCCAATACAATATTCACAACGTCAATCCCCACACCTTTTCAAGTTTTGAAGGATTGTATTCGCTTTAAATAATGGAATTATCTTAACCCTCTGAGCAGCTAAGATCAAGAAGACCTATATTCAAACAATAGTTATTAGCAAGATCTGTACAATTACTTACTTCATTCTTTACTTTCATAACCTTCCATTCATTACAATGATATCTAGATTACAAAAGAAAATATGAGAATGCAATATTCTAAATAACAAGATAACATTTACAAAGTGGCAATAAATCTCATGACCAGATAAAAGCGACAAGCTACTCAGAAGGTTAAATAAACTTAGGCTGATTTGTGATGAACAACTTGATTTATATAAGCTTTCTGCCCCTTTTTTAACATATATTTATATACAAAAGATTTTCCTTATAGATTTTATAAATAAATAAAGTATGGATTAAATACCATTTCTCATATTTGAATTCAACTTTCAAACATTTAAACAAAATTTCAAAGAATTCTCCAATGGGGAGGAGGTAGAAACAGAGTTTTACCATTTACAGAAATTTATCATTATTATATAAAAATTTTTAATTCCTAAACAACTGAATAATTTTAAACTATTTAAAATTATTTCTATGAATTCAAATAACCAAATTATTTAAATTATGGAAATAATTTTTAATAGAATTTTTAAAGAAAATGTAAAAATATGAATTAAGATCCTTCCAATTTTTAGTACACCCACTACTACTTCTTTAAAGCAGTTAAATTAGGAAACACAGATCTAAAAATCAAACTATTTATCTTGTTCAAGAATAAAATAAAAAAAGAAAGAAAAGAAAAAGAAGTAAAGGATGTGGATTTTCAGAGAGATGTGAAGCTCAGTAAAAACAAACACAGAGAATAAGAACTTAAGCTTTGAAGTCTTGATTTTTGGCTTGCAAGAAAATATTTTTAGATTTTATGTATTTGGAAAATAGAAAATATTATTAATTCAATACAGACCAAATGTTTTTTGGCAGATAAAAGAATTCAAACCTTACACACAGCACACTTCTGCTTACACACAGCTCCTTTTGGTACACAAAAACAACTTAAAAATAGCATACCTTAGACTGTAACGTGAAGGTTACAGGCAGCATAAGAAATGAATACTTTTACTTTCTTTTTTAAAGAACTGTTACATGAAAATTGCATCTGAACGTAAAGAGTCAATATATTCAATACTTGAAAAAATATATTTCCAAAACATATAAAAACAAGCATTTGAAATATATCATTAATGCTTAGCCTTATGTCCATGCATACAACTATTGGAATAGTCTAATAAACAACCATCAGTAGGATCATCAAGGGTATGCACTCACGGATTGCAAAGGCATTCAGTAACTGTGGTGACAGAATGATTCTGCCCAATTCCATCCCAATTTTAATCAAGAACACATTAATGGATGGAATCAAAAGTTTTTGCAGCTCTGGTATCTTACTACTAGTCTCACAAATGGACTTTTAATGCAACAGATTTTAAGCTCCCCAATGCCTCCAAATCATTGTATGATTTGAAACATTCATGTTTATATGCCTCTTCTAGGATATTTGAAACATATATATAATTTTAAAACCATACTTTAAACTAGCTTTCCAAAAACATGAAAAGAAAATTATGAATAAGCAATGGTAAGTGATATCGGAAACGGTAAAAATAAAATACAGAAATTTATAATAATCTTTTTAAAATGCACAAACTAGAAATTCGAAAGCTCAATCTAAAGCTAAATAGCTAAAAACTTGGAACAGAGTAAAATTGTCTTAAATTTGTATTTGTTCAAGGTGAGGGACAGTATTAAAACACAGTAAATCACAGTTCTAATGTCAAAGGAATAAAAGCAATGATTCTAGCAAAAAATGGCCAATAATTTATGTAGTAAATGCCAAAAAAATTAATATAAAAAATTTAATTGTTTTGTGTTTCTTTGACACTGGAACCACAGTAAATTTTTAAATTATGTCCACCACTTGAAAATGAAGAGAAATAAAACAAACTAAATCAACACAATATGTTCCAAGTGTTAAGCTACTTAGTTTGATTCAGCTTTTGAATTTTTAGTTTTAACAAAGTAAAAGAAGTACTGTAATTGCAACATTTGAAAGACTTTTTTTTTCCATGACATGACATTCATGCCAATGATTCCTTGCCAATGTGGTTTAATTTACATTGGCCAAACAAAAAGAGCCTTAAAACTTCATGTTCAAGAACATGAGGCATATGTTAGGAAAAAGGAAACACAAAAATCCGCTGATGCTCAGCATTGTTGGAATGAAAACCACACTTTCCATTTTTCTGCAGCCAAAATTATTCAGAAAGCATCCTTCATTAGTAAATTAGATTTTTTAGAAGCATTTCACTTCCAAAAAAACATTTCTGTTCTAGTTAGTGACCCCAATTGCAATCCGTCTTTACCTTCAGCCTTTAACCCTTTCCGGCGCAGTGTGTTCGGTGCGAATACACCAAAGTATTCCCTCTTTAGACACTGAAAATAATCAATAAATATAACGAAAACTACACTTAATGGTTACTTTTAATCTCTTTTATGAATAATAGATGGCAGCACCACACAAGCAAATCATTAACGTTGAGATATATTCTATTTTTAAAGACACTGATTTTTCAAAGAAATGTTTCAGATTTTTTTTTTAAATATAAAGAATATAAATGAAAGAAATCTTTATATAATTTTGTTGTTCGTATGCTATTCTGCCTATTCTGTATTACTTTTAATTTTTATCTTTGAAATATTGTGTATAGTGTGTCCGAACTGAACACACTGTACTGGTAATGCCTGTCACATGGAAGTGAGTCACAGAATCTGGTCTTGCTTCAAACACTGGGGAGGCTGACAGCGCAGATTTATTTATATTTGTTTTTATTCTTTTCTGTTTTTGGGTTTGAAGACACCTGTGCTTTGTTTTCACTTAGCTATTTGATTTTCAGCTAGAGCAGAGCCTTTTTTTCCCTTGCTTTCATCGTGTGTAGTTTGATTTCTGTAGACTTTTATTTGTATATATATTTAATAATTATTTTTTCTGGTCAAAAATTAATTGTAAATTTATAGTATTTTAATTATTTTTCTTATAAATTTTTAAATTGTGTAAATAGTTTGGAGAGACCTTAGCATTGCCGAAGCAATGAGAGTTTTCTTTTTTTTTTTCCTGTTTTTTTTTTGGGGGGCGGAGTGTGGAGTAGCAAGCCTCCCCATGTTGCACCCTGGGTTATGCTAAATCTGCTAAAGAGATCACATTCTACTGTTTTTAAATCATAGACAAAGTATTTTACTGTGCTTCACAGCAATGCTTACCTATCGCAGGTCGTGCAGCTCAGTGTGTTTGCTTCGGACACACACAAAATGGAACCGGTTGGTGCAATCTTTGTAAAATTATAACTGCATACTCTCCTAGGCCTAAATAGACTGCCTACATTTTTTTTTTTTTTTTTTTGGTAAAATTCCATTTTTAAAGAGTAGCATACCAGAAAGGGTTAAAAAAATTTTGTTTTAGTATTTATGTTTCATCAATAGATGGCACCGATAGCTTAACTTCTGTCCAACTTTTCTTATCTTTCTTCATATTTGGTTATATTTATTTGGTTCATTTGCACTTAGCAGCTGAAGAAGGTAGTTAAAAAACTATCAAAACTAGTACTTCAAAAATTGTTTACGAATTTAGACTGATGCTTAATGTCGGACGTTGTTTTTGATTGTTATTCAGCATGATATTTAAACTAAATTATCACATACACTTGTTTATTCATTTTTTTCCCCATGTTTATGAAAAGTTAAGATAACTTAAAAAGCATGATTATAAAATTATTAATGGATCATTTGTGCATAATTACCGTATTTGCCAGTGTATAAGATGCACCCCTTTTTTATACACATTTTTAAAGGATAAAACTGTATTACTGATCATTATAGTGAATTTACAGTATTTTAAATGTAAAGTAACACAAACACAATGTAATGCTTTATTCAAATACCCAATCTATCTGGGAAAGAACACCTTTTAATCTTCTTTGTCAAAACCCAGACACTCATCTCTAGAGACAACTGAAAAGTCCCTTGAATCCTCTTCTAAATCAGCATCCGAGTCCTCATACAACAAATTGTCCTCTGTACCATCCAACGTGATCATCGATGTCAGCGCATGCACATTCATTGAACTCTACATAATTGCAATATTCCCACACTCTGCAAGGTGTGTGTATTTAATTATGGCAAAGCACATGAGGCCTATCTGCCTAAGGGAAGGGATGCCTTCATGGACACACTCTGCAAGGAAAAAAAAAAATCGCATAACTCATAATCGAGAATTTTCCAGAACTGAATTTCGAGAAATGAAGGTAATCAAAAGCTGAGTATCGACATATAAGACGCACCCAATTTTTCAGACCTATTTTCAAAGGAAAAAAGGGCATCTTATACTCTGGCAAATTTGGTAATTATTTCTACATAGAATGGCAGAATACATTTTTTCAAATTTAGTATTTGAAATATAATTCAACTATATATACATACACTCATCTATCATAGCAAAAATATGTGTTTGAATATATATAAAATGTTCTGCTCAGCCTTGTAAAGTTTTCCTCATATAAACCCTAATTTTAATGAGAACATAAGCATTTATAAATAAATAATGACACTTTGTGCATTTTGGCTTTTAACCAGCAAACAAATAATGATATAATATGCTTTAGATGCAATTACCTGGACGACTCTTCAAGGCATGACCGATAATCTGAGCCCAACCTACAGGATGAATCAAGGGAGAACGTTCATGACACCAGAAACCTTCATCTTCATATTCTGATTCCACATATTTCACATGTAATCTCCCACCAACAACATCACTCACTACAGCAGAACGTACAACAGAAATCAAGTTTTTATCAACAACTTCAAGTTTCATTCCTTTCTTAATGGTATTATGAGTATGTTCTGCTGCCTAAAATAAAAGCATATAAGTTGTCATTAGTAATCAAATGAAATACATATTACTACTTTGGAAGAAAAGTGGCACATCTCTGAACCCCCCCCCTCCCTTGTTTAGAGGAGCACAAAAAAAAAAAAAAAACCTAAGAAGATTTAACCAAAGTTTAACTGAATATGAAGAAACACTAATAAAAACTAGTGACATCCTTTCTATTAGTGACACTTTTCTACATTAAAATATACCACATTTTTGTTTTGATTATGACATAAGCAATAATCGCACGTTTTGAGTTATGCTGGTTTTCTTCCAAAGCAGCGATATACTGTAAAAGCAATGTTTCCATATTATTTTGATAAAATTTTAGCTCATATTTCGGATATTAATTTAACAGATTTATAATTTGTCTTCCTGCTGGTAAAAGAGCTTCATACTGAAAGTAATTGTGGTTCGCATCATTGAACATACAGTTAAGTTTTACACTGGTCGGAAATGCAGCTGTCGGTTGATTAACAGGCTTAAACAACTTTTTATTTATTTCAGTCTTAAAATAATTGATAGCAAACATAATATTTTTAGATTTCTTTGAATCATGCAATAGGCTAGAAGCTTCACAACATTCTGTTTCGACTTTTAAAATTGTAATCAATTCTAAAACATCAAATTCTATTTTCAATTTTTGTTCCTGTTGTATTCTAAAGCCAACATTTCTGGAATTAGTTTCATAAAAATAGGATGTGATAAATGACTATAACTTTTCATATCACGTTTAAAGTTTCATGCATCGAATATTAATTTCTATTTCACTGTACAATTTTCAAAGAGCTACAATATCACACGCGCACTTCACTTTATCTAGGCTTAATAGCTTCATCACATGTCAATGAGATACATTCCTATGACCTCAGAGATTACGCGATCTATATACAGGGTGCTTCAAAACTCATGGGCAAATTCAACAGGTGAAAAAAAAAACATATAAACAAGCAATTTTCACCATACAATGCACGAGCAGAGAGCAAGTGCTGAACGCTAGATGGAATGCATAAAGCTGTAATGGAAAGCATAAAGCATGAATTTTCTCACTCATAGTCATTTCTAGCACGGATTTCAGAAGACATGTCGACATACAGTAATCAGGAAAAGGCGAACATGCATTTTACGTATGGTCTTGTGAATGGAAATGCTCTGGAGCTGAAAGACTGTACAGGTAGTGTTTCTCAAGAAGACATATGTCAGACTGAAAAGTGTTCGAGTGACTGCATTGATGCCTGTGTGAAACGGGATCCTTTGTCACCAGCACGCATAATACAGGCAGTGGCAGAAGTGTGTGGGTGCCACAAGCTGTGGAGGATATTCTGCAAATAGTGGAATATTATCCAAATATTAGCACACGAGAGTTTTCTCGTGTCATAAACGTGCTCCACTCAATTGCTTGACAAGTATTACAGTACAAAAAATTACACCCTTATCATGTACAAAAAAATGCAAACCTTGATACCTGCAGATTATGAGCCATGCGTCGTGGTTGCAAGTTGCTTTTTGCAACAGCTAGCAGAGCAGCCTGATTTCAGTGCACATGTGTTATTCATGGATGAATACACCTTTACTCAAGAGTGAATTTCCAATATGCATCTTTATCCTCCCTCAAACTTTTGCCCCCATGAGTTTTGAAACACCCTGTATAGCTAGTGTAAATAAACAAGGTCATTCTTCCTCTTCTTCTCTTGTGTAATGCATCACATTACGATGCCGTTTCTTCTGAAATGTTCTTTTAGCAAAGTGATGCTTTTATTGTAACTTCAGCTCATTAGAGCAAATCCTTTAATTTCATTCAACATAATTACCCCTAATAAACTTTTCAATGTCAGATAAACAGTTTAGTCTTCATGAATGGAACTCTTAAACTGACTCCAAAATCAAACCACATGTTTACATCATCAAAAATTTTTTTTATTATAAGCTTAAGTACCATAATGGTATTTCTTGCATGGAAATGGTTGATTCAATAACCTTGTTAGTTTTTGAACTCATAATAGAATCTGAATTCCCTGAAAGCTCTTTTAATGAATAATATGCTCTTTTAATCTCCTGAAAAATATGGAAGCTCTGCACTTCCATATTATTTATCCTACCTTAATAATCCAGTGAAGCTTCAATTTCTAATTCAAGTTCTTCTTCACTTAATAGTTTTTCAATATCACTATCTAACTAACTGAGTAAATCTTGTTTAACTATCAACTGTTCAAGAAGTTCATGTAATGATTTGGAAACTGATATATAATCTTGTATAGCATTTTCAATTTTTTGGAACAGTTTGGTTGTTAAATAATGTATTGCCATTCTCTTCAAGCTTTATTTATTCAAGATATTTATTCAAGCTTCAAGCTCCATAATAATAAAAAAAAATTCTCACTTGCCCTCAAAATGAAAGCTTACTTACTTCTTACCTCATGCCCACCTACTGGGCACCAAAAAATGCTAGATTCTTTTCAAATCTTCTCAGAGTGGATTCTAGGTTAATAATAGTAATCTGCAGTATCTGTGAATAAGTGAGCTATACATGAAGCTTGTTTCACACACATAATAATAAAACATTTATTTAAGATGAGACAATTCACGTTTCTGTCTTTCATGCTAGCATATTTTTTTTTACTAATCAAAAACATAACCATTCTCTGAACACAGTGGCATCTACATAAAAAATTATCTACAAAATATCAACAACAAAAAAGTCTTTATTGCAATAATAATAAAGAGCATAATATCCATTTCAGTGTGTGGCCATATATCAGTGTGGTATTGCTATCCTATTTAGAAAGAAATATAAAAAAAATCTCCAAGCCAATCCATAATTGATGAGAACGTATGCAAAACAGTTCTTTATTTTCAGCAGGTGAGAAAAACCTGTTACAAACAAAGGTATGGAAACAACAACCCATTGTTGCCAATGTACTACACATAAAATCTATTCATCTTTGATATTAAAAAAGTGCTAATTAATATAAGCATAAAAAGTGCTCATTAAGCATAAAAAAGTGCTCATTAATATTAAGTGTGGGGGCGTCTGATTTCTGAGCACTGCTTGAGTTAATATTTTTCTTTGTTGTTTAGTATGATCAGCAAGGCATTTTGGTGAAGACAGTGGTCTTTTCACTTAATCTTTTAAATATTCAACTAGAGCTTGAAGTGATATTAACAAGTGTTGGAGATGAAAAACTGCTAGAACAAAGGTTCTCAACCGAAGGGGAATTTCATAAATTCAGACAGGGATGTGGTCAGCCTTTATTTACCTGCTAAGTATTTAGTTTATGAATATAAAAATATACTTTTATTCAAATTTTGGTATATATAAACATTTCCATACTTTTTGTTGTTTAATTTATAAAACACATTAAAAATAATCTACATGTAAATAAATATATGTGTATTGTTTTAGTTTTGGAAAGGAAGAGGGGATGATTGTCAAGCTACTATGAAGGGAGTAAATGATGTAAAAAAGATTGTGCACCACTATGTTAGAAGAAAGAGCACAGTTCAGAAAATGTATACAATTTTAGTAAATTCATGCTCAATAAAGTATCCCTAAAATCTTTACCAATAAAGCAATAAAAAAAATTAATTTAAACACTAGAAACCCTCAGCTTAAATACACACAAACCTAATTTACATCCTGGTGAGAAATACAGAAAGAATTTACAGTGAAGAATTATAATAACTAGTTAATTAACATAAAATATCTTACAAGTTTTAAATTTATATAATCTCACTAAGATAATTTTTTAAACACAAAATTTATGAAATCTAATGAGTTTACATTTCAGAAATCCAAATATTATGCTCTCGCTGTTTACTAATTTGCTTTTGGTCTCACTCCTGCTAGTAAAACTTTTTTTTTTTTAAACTTTAATACTGTTTTCTTCACACTTATGCTATTTCAAATTCAACAATAAAAATTAAAAAAAAAAATTTTAAAGGAGCATATTTTTAGAATTCCTGATAAAGTTTTGCCATAATTTTTCTATTTATTTGCAGTCTTTTTTCAGTTTGTCATATCAATGCTCAATTTTCTTAACAAGGTGATCTACACAATTTTTTCAGTATTTTAATTTTATTAATAAACATCACTTTCCTTTTATTCTTCCCACTTACACCACATAAAATTCCACAGCAAAATCATAATATATTTAAAAACATCTTATCCAGAATTCCTGACAGCGTTAAGTATTGCCATACATTTCTTTTACATTCATTACATAATTCTTTAAAAATAATATACGGTGATAATATTTGGTGGCAACATCTTTTTATTTGAAAAAAGATATGGACACAAAAGTGAGGATCAAGACCAGTAGCACCTCTAATGCTTAAGAAAAAAAAGAAAGAAAGAAATATATATATATATAAAAAAGAAGAAGAAGGAGAAGATACTTCCATGTGAAAAAAGGATTTTTACCAATTTAAGAAATAAAATTAAGCAAACTATAAAAATATAATAAAATTAGGAAATTTTAAGTTTTCTAGTTTAAAAATGCTAATAATCAGTAATTAAGATCAAAGCAGTATTAAAGAAGAGTTTTTAAAGCAAAAATGTACTGCAATAGTATGATTAAATTATTACCTTGAAAGCAAGCACAGGTGGGATGGTTTGAGCTCCAGATATTTTCTTCACTAAATATTTTTTCCAGCAGTCAAACTTTCCTTCAATGCCTTTATAAGCAAATTACGTTTAGAGAGGTTTTTTAAAACAGAAATACACATGCACATTAAAAAGTAAATAACCTAAAAATTTATACACATAAGTAGCATAATATTATCCACATTCTGAATCAAAATAGCTGTTTGCAAACATATTCTTATGCTCTATAAAAAAAATAAATTCCTAATGAGAATTCGTTAAAAGTAAAGGAGTGGAATAGTTGCATCTAAATATAAATGATTTAAATATAAATGAACTCTACTGATTGATCATGTTTGATAGCCTTCAAACTAGGAAAACCAAATTCTAATTGATTATTGTGTAATTTAATTTTGAATCCTGCAGACTTAATACAAATAAATTAAATTTCTTAATTTCATAGTACCACAAAGTCACCATTTTGTTGTTGTCTTATTCCACATTATCCAGCCACAGGTTGACCAAGTCCACGAGCCCAATCATCTTAAAAAAATCATGAACAAGAAGAGAACTGATAAAAAGGTCAATCCTATCAAGACCTGCACAGTTCAATATGTGAATGGAAGATGCCTGCACAGAGTTGCAGTTGATACTTCAGGTCTTTTGCCCCCAATCAAATGAGAGATACCTGATGTGTCCACTTGCAAGCCTGCTAATGGTGAACTGAATGACTCTGTCAGCCTTGACAGCAAGGGCATCACCCAGATCCTGCCTACTTTATCAGGGGGGAATTGGAAGGATTTTCCATAGCTGCTGATTTGAGATTTCTATCTTGGAGTAGATATCATAGAAGGTCAAAGAGTGATTTGAAACAGACACATCAGAGGCTCCATTCTTTGCCAAAAGGCATGCATTTTCATTGCCAAAAAGGCCAATGTGAGAAGGGATCCATTGAAAGTACATTTTGTGCTGTAGAGCTGATAAGTTGTTTAAAAGTAATAAATATTGAAATAGTTGCTTTGTCACCAGCCTTATAGCACTATGACTGTCTGATAAGATCCAGATATTTGAGGTTACAGATTACAGATTTAATAGCATCGAACGCCGCATCAGTAGCTATTAGCTCAGACCTAAAAACACAGCAGAAATCCGGATTCATAATCTTAAATCTAAGTGAGTAGTCAGCGACGTTGATGGAAATTCTGCTGCTACAATATCTGTGATTGTCTTTACTGTCATCAGTATATTATTTGAATAGCAGCTGCTAGGATTTGGCTAATGACCTCCAAAGCAAGTTGACATAGATACTCAGGCAAGTCTTCATTTTTGTTAGCATGAATCCCTAATTCAGATTGAAAATGTACACCACGGAAGCCCTCCAGGGGGTTAAAGCTAGCTCTCAAGAAGTGTCTCTCAATATCCAACAGGTCCAAGAAATGAATTCGAGAGAAAGAACTGTCTCTCTTTAATCTCAGTCTGTTAGTCCAACTACTGAGATAAGTTGCAGGGCGATTTTGAATGCCAAAACTATGAAGCTTGTTATAATACTTTGCAAGTAACCTGTTTCTTTTCAATTTTAAAGGCTGGATTTCACTTTCAAATAATACCATGGGGCAGCAGAGTTTCATGTCGGTGTTAATGCGAGCAGCAAGTGTTTGCATTCTTACCAGTTTTGCTAAGTTAGTGGGTGATGCACAAAAGTAAATTTGGAAACCATATTCCAAAACAGGTCTGATCAGAAAGATATAAGCTAATCTGAGAGTGTTGGCATCTGTACCCTAGTCTCTTCCTGTAATATAGTTCAATAATTCAATCTCTTTCTGGATTTATTCACAAGATAATTTATATGCTTGTTATTCAGGATTTCAGGATCCAAAATATAACTTTGATATTTAGAATGTTTTCCATATACCAATGATTTGCTTTCCATTATGATTTTAGATTGGTAATTGTATAATCACTGGTTAGGTATAAAAAAACAAGTTATTAATTTTGATACATTAAAATTCCGTTTATGATTCTCAACAAAACAGAGGACCTCAGAGAGGATGGAATTAAACACAGATTCCAGTTTATCCAATATCAGAATTGGAGTTTCAGAGGGCAAGATCATTGGTGAATAATCTAACTTCATCTTCTGGAGGTGACACTTTCAATGCCCACAATGAGCAAAGAAAGAAGGAGAGGGCTCAAATCTGAGCCCTGCACGACACCCTGATACAGCTGAAAAGTTTTAGGCAAAAAGTCCCCGAATCTCACTCTGATCTTTTGATCTTTCATGAAATCATATATCCAAGAGAGGGCTCTGTCTTTTATACCAAAGGTGTTAAAAAGCTTAAAGATTAATGATTAATTTAATTTAGTTTATCATTTATTAATTTAAAACAAAGTCACCATAAAGTATAATCCAAAGCAATCATTACGAAGATTTAGTATTGAAATAGGAATAAAACACAGTGAGATTACAAAAGTACTCCCTATAGCATTATTAAGACAACAATTATTTTCACTCAAACATACAATCATGTAACAGAAATTCACTCATAAAATACTGAATGCAGACTTATCAATAAATGCATTAAAATAAGAATTTTAATTCATCAAATCAGCTGACTATATAGCAGCACTCAATCTTGTTATGCTGTATAGATAAAATTCACAGCTGCTTGCCTTTTATAGATAAAATCCACAGTGATGGTAAATTAAGATAAGTTTCCTAATTCTTAAAGTTGCCCACACATATAACTGCTCAAATACATTCTTTTTCATCTTTTACCATGCAAATATAGTTACAATGGACTTTTAAAATAGCTGCACATATCTATTTGATTGTTTCGTTTTTGTTCCATTTGACTGTATCTATGTACCTATTTCTATTTGACTGTTGCTCTGTCTGACTGTATCAATTTGATTGTTTCGTTATAATATTACATATCATTTTAATTTATTTATTTGTTTAATTGCAGCATTTTATCTAATAATTTTAGGAGTATTTCTGAACAATTAAATTTGTGGCCACTGGTAAGGATTTACTTCTTGTATAAAATTATAGATCTTGTAATTCTGAATTCAAACATTTAAATTGCAAAAAGAACTAAAAACTGAGCTACAGGCATTAACTTTCCTGATACACCTTGGTGACAATTCTGTGGTAAAAGTTGGCAATCATTGATTGATTTTTCAAGAACCTTGTGATTTTCTGGAAGTTTCTGAATAGCCCATTTTAAAGCAGAAAGAGCAACTTTTTTCGAACTTCAAGGCTTAATCATAAATATGGTTATAAGAGCCAGGCGTTAGTTTTGACTTGCAGTTAGTTTTAAAAACTATTTATTTTAAAGTCAATTAAAATGCATAGTTAAAAGTAGTAATATCAGTCATAATTAAATTTAAGTAGTGATATTTGTGATCTGCTGCATTTCTCATGTGTTAAAGAGAATTTGTTTTATCTTTACATTCTCGAGTTATTTTAATGTGTGTTGTATTTTTTGCAATAAATTGTCAATGTTTTCCTGATCACTGGAGTAATTAACTGAAGAGATTTCTGTGAACATCTCATGATAATATACTTAATTATTTGTGAGTCTTAAATCTTGATCAATATTTGTTATTCAAGAATTGATATGCAATAATAATTACTGTTCACTTGAAATAACTGAACAATTATTGTCATTAACTTAAAAAGTCCCCGAATAATAGCCTCTTCAATGCAGTTAGTATAAACTATTATGCAGGTAATCTAGTTACAATTATATAGCACCCAACCTTGAAATATAAAAACCAGGAAATTTTCACTCTTTTCAACAATGTAAATTTTCAACAATGTAAAAGGATCCCAAACTGATAAATCTGATTTCAAGTCACTTTATACATTTAGATTATCAAATTATAAAATGATTTTGATGCAAAGAATTTTATTAACTTAATTTTTCACTTTACATTTTTTACTAATTTTATTTACTTAATTTCCTTAAAATTTAACTCTGATGAAAATATTTTATTTATTAAATAAAATCAACAATTAAATGGCCAAATATTTATGTGAATACACTCAGCAATACAGCATTTATATATTAAACATGAAAGTAAATATAGATGTTTACCTATTAACCATTAATTAAATCTTCATAAAATATGCTATAAATCTGGGCAAAAGATTAAAGCTGTTCAAAATCAATTAAAAATTAATTAGAAAAAATACAATGAAAATTATTTGAAAAGAAAATAATTTGTACAATTTTAAGTTTCATAAAATATAACAATGGCAATATCCTAGTTTTTTTAGAACTTTTTATTAAATTTGTTCAGATTTATTTCTTTTTCCTTTGATAGATGATGATTAAAAGTTTTTTTCCGAGGTTACATTTGGTTACATTTACAAAAGCTAGAAACATTTTGAAATAAAAATTATGAATATAAAGAAATTTCGCTACCGCTCATGGCAATTTTAGCCACTTCTCAGACATTAGTAAATTTAATGTGACATAAAAAGACATACATATTTATATCTGTTTTGAAGTACATTATTAGTTATAGGATACATGTTCTAAAAGAATTTTAAATATAAAAAAATTAATATTTTTTTATTACATTTAATAAAATAATTTATTGTACATTGAGCTTAAATAAAACAAAATAAAAAGTAAAATATACAAATATCATAATTAATTTTATCTAAAAATATGAAAATTTTTTAAAAAGTTATTTCTTTGCTGCAATTTTCTGGGATCACCACAGCAATAAAATGTATTCAGATGTAAGGTCATTCTGCCTCAGTGGCACAAACTCTTTACACTAAAAATGTTTTTAAGACTATAACCCACAGACAATGACTACTTCAAAATTAAAAAACTGCATCATCACCTTGCTTTAAAAGATATAAAAGTTCAGTCTGACCTATGTCAACTAAGAAATTAGAAATAAAGAGTTTTCCCTTGTTTTTAGGAATTATATTAATGTCCACTTTGCACCAAAAAGGGGGAGGGGACAGTTCTGTATCTCCCTGATTGATTGATGAAAGTTAACTTGTGTTTTTCATGTCTCGAAAGCACGACTTAAAATATATATTAGATTTATATACAGTAAGACCTTGCTTAACGCTGTTTCGGTTTAGCGCTCTTTTATTTCAACCCGGGGATTCTCCGAAATTGTGCGCAGCGCTAGGTTTCCAAATAACATATCCGAAACAGTGTAGTTGTGTTTCTTGCTTGGTGGACGCATTTTTATCATTTGAAACATTTGTTGACATTATTGTAAGTTTAAATTTGTATAATACTATAACGATTAATACAGTGACAAATATTATGATCTTTAGTTTTTATCATGGGTGATAATAAAAAACAAGAAAAGAAAGCAACCAGAAAAAAAACATTTCACTGGAAAATCAAATGCAAGTGATTAGAAGATTAGATTCTGGTGAACGTCAATCTCAAATTAGCGCTGCATTGATTTTGGCAACTTCAACAATAAGGACAATCTTAAGAATAAAGAAAAAATACTGTCATCGGCAACTGCAACTCAACTAGAATTACCCGTTCTAGAAATAACATTATAGAGGAAATGGAAAAACAAAAACGACTGTCTATATGGATTGACGACGAAATGATGAACGCAATATGCCATTAAGCCAATCTATCATAATGCCTTTCTTCACAAAAAGGCAGAAAATTGGAAACCCAGAATAGACTGAATGATCTGACTGAGAATTTTATTTGTTTTTAAAAGTATATGCGTTTATATTGTTTTTATTTTGTAAGAAATAAAAGTTTGATTTTATTTTTATTAAAAAAATTATTAAATTTAATGCCTAACCTTTGCCTAACCGTCTTCCCCTAACCCTTTTTTTTTATCCATTCCCCCATTATTTACATGTTAAGATAGCCTCGCTTAGCGCTGTTTCGCATTACGCTCTACTTCGATGGAACGTATCCCCCGCGTTAAGCGGGGTCTTACTGTATAGCATTGTTCTAACATAGCTATTCTGACATAAAATCAGACTTTTTCTGAAATAACATACCTATTTTCTCCCCCAAATTTCGATTCTACGACTCAACTTATGACAAACTGCTAAGTTTTATAAAAATTCCAAAAACATTTTTTTTTTAAAAATTAGCTCTAAAAATTTTAGCTCCTCACTGTTAATTGAATTTGGTATATATTTATTAATACATCTTTTTTTTTATTAAACTCACTTGATTCTTTCTTTAACGAATTGAAATTTAGATTCAATCCAAATGAAATTTGTGAATATTTTCTGATTCATTTTTTAAATTTGTATTTAGAAATTTTTATGAATTTTTTGAATTAAAACCTATAAAATTTTTACTATCAACTTAGAATAGATGTATTTCTACGCATACAAGAAAAAAATTATAGTTTGCTATTCAAAATTGCCTGTGATATACACCAATTTATACATTGGCACATTTTGAAATTTGGAATATTTGTTGTAAGTAATAACAAATGCCAAATGGGCTTTACACTGTTAAAATTCTCTGAAAGTATGAAAGATGTATCTTTTTTCCCATTGTGCACAATGAAAAAAGGGGAAAGGAAAATAGGTTACAATAAATTTAGAATTTGCCAAGTGAATTATTCTTGGTACAAAGTGAAAAAAGTGCACCAAGATAAAATTTTAAATTTCTCAGCAAGTTTCTCACCCAGTTTTACAAAATTTAATATTTGGGCATTATTTGAGTCATAGATTTGAAATAGGGAAAACAAATTGGTACGTTATTTTAGAAAAAGTCAGATTTTGTGTCAAAATACCTATGTTAGAACCATGCTATTTTTTATCTAATATATAGTCAAAGTCGGGCTTTCAAGACATGAAAAATGCAAGTTAAATTTCATCAATCTGCCAAATAGAATGGGAGATACAAAACTGTCTCCTCTTTTTTTAATGTATAGTGTACAAATGCATTCTGTAAAATTACTTAAATTAACAATCTGCATTCTGTAAAATTATTATATCATTAATATATACACTTACATTGCATTTTTAATTAAAAGTACATTAGAAAAGAAAACTCACTTTTTGGGGGAACTAAATGTTTCTCATTATCTATACACCATCCTATAGGATGAATATGAGGTTCTGTACATAAGTTGATCCATCTGTCTTCACTTCCGTCATCAAAGCCTTCAAATCGCAGTAGTCCCATGTATCCTATTAAAATACACATTTAAACAAATTAAGTACGAAAATTTAAATGTGAATCTAACATATATGTAATTGTTAGTCAAACTTTAATAAAAATAAACTGGTTTTGTAATCTTGACTGAAATTCTATTATTACTTTAAAAAAAATAAAAAAATTACTGATTTTAATTTATGTTAAGAAAAAACAAAGTGATAGCAGTTAATTAATGATTAAATATTTGTTCTAAAATATAGTAACATGCATTTTAAATTCAAGCCATAATATTAATGAAAAACATAAACTTAGGCAGAGGAACAACCCTCTGTTTGACATATATTTTAAACAAGTCTTTTTTCCAAATTTTATGTTTTACTTTGGCATGTTTTGCTTCTCTCTTTAGTAATTAAGAAGCTATACATAATAATTAACTGGAGAAAATTTTATGATACAGTCACTACATTTATTTAAGATAATTATGCTAATATTTGGATCTTGTGATAAAAAAAATATTTTTAATTAAAATTTTGAAACATTAACTCTTACACATGCCATATTAGTATCCCTCCCTTTTTTTGTCCTTCTATAATGCTAACAGATATACATAAGAAGCTGGCTTAGTAAAGAGAATACAGATTTTATGAGAAAGACATAAAACAATTTTTTATCAATACGATTGAATAACATTAAAAAAAATACATAACAATCCTGCATACATAACAATCTATCATTTATGCTTACTTTATGAACATCTTTCAAATTTACAATATTGTTCCATTAATTTTAAAAAATTAACATATTTGCCCCTTTTAGAAATTTCATGATTACAGTTCTAATTTTTCAGTATCGTATAACAAAACTGGTTAAAATTTATCAAAAGTTTTGGAAACATGTCATGAGACATCATTAAGACTAACTACATGGACATTCTAAAAGCTGTCATAAATTAAAGAAAAAAGAAATTTCTATTTTGTTTATTACTTAAAATAAAATCTATACACTTGATGGTATTTGCTGTTTAATTCAAACATATTACTGGAATTCTTTTATCCCACAACCACACTTTTGTGACACATAGTTAAAGTTTACATGAGTATACATAAATTTATATGTGCATTAAGAAAAGAAATAATATAAACAATGGATACATATATTTTTCAGCTGTACTTAGCTTGTGAAACATCTCTCTTTAAATGCTCCAACAGAAGTCTTGCAAGCACAAAACCATTATTAGACCTGCAAGCTATCCATGACTGAACATGAAAAGAAACATTTCCAGTCAGAAACGAACTCAAAATCTTTGGAAAAAATGGTCGTCTGAATATTTAAACAAACTTTTAAATAGCCCTAAATGGTGTAAATTAAAGGTAGAAATAAAGGAAGATTTAGTAAAGGATTCGGATAACTATTACAGTGACGAGTAAGCATTAACAAACAGGCAGTGACATGCAGTTGCTTGTTTGCATCAGACAGTGAGTGGGGGTATCTACTTGCTCAGCTTGTATGCCTTTCCTATGCGGCACAAATGGAGTCTGATTGTTTCATCAACTACCTGAAAATGTGCAGCAAGCTCATCACATGTTTGGCTACCTGTCACTCTTTATGGCCGCTCTCAGGGCCCCATCGTCCAGCGTGTGTGGCTGACCGCTGTGTAGTGCATTGCAAAGAGATATTTCCCGACCTGAACTTCTGGAACCATTGCCTAGCGGTTCGTTCGTTAACGGCACCATTTCCAAAGACCTGGCAAATTCGGCGACTTGATTCTGCTGCTAATGGGACCACTTCAAAATCATACAGCAAACAACTCTGAATGAGCACCTTTGATTCGTCCATTTCAATCAGTCGCTGTACGAGTTATGTTTGAAGAACCAATGTAACATGCTTTTATACTCTTGGTCAATGTCCGGACTCTCTTTCTAACCACTTCATCATTAGGTTTGAGGACTATTTTTATGCTGAGGTTCACTCTTCCAATGTCATATCAAAAACAGCAAGAACTTTGGTTACCTTGTACAAGCATGCACAGACAGATACATTAGGGGACCAAAGAACTAGATAGATAAACAATCTGTCTTTTCATCAAAGAATACAAAGAAAAAGCATATTTCCTGCTTTGTAATCATGTAATTTTGCAGTTATTTGACATACTTCTAATGGATGTATTTATTACGGTATTAACATTTATTTTTCATTTTAAGTTATTCACATGAAATAGGAGAAGAGCATTTACATTAAAACAATTTTAGTTTGTAGACTTATATTTTGTACAATTTATTGATAAAATGTTTACACATGCATGTACCAGTTAAGATGTCAGACATATTCAGAATAACAGCTGTATAATGTAAGAAATTACTAGTAACTGTTATTTTTTTTTATCAGACTGCAAAATAGAAAAATATGAATTTATCAACTGACTTCAATACATCTTTAATTATACTAATTGCAGGACTAAATAATAAATTGCACTTCACCCAATCATAAATGAAATTTCAAAATCATACAGTTTAATTGCCAGAGAAAAAAAATGATCATGTTCTATACAGTCAAAAGTCGTTAATCCGGACTCGTCGGGACTTCGGCGATTCTAGATTATAGATCATCAGTTTAAATCCGGTAAGATGGCATGCAGAAATTATAAAATTAAAGATATGAAACCGTAATTTATGAAATAAAGAACAATTATGATCTAAAGGGTATCAAAATTTACAAAAAAAAAAAGCTTAATATTTATTTGTTTACTTTATTAAACATTTCTTTCAATGTAAGTTGTTTAAGTTGCTTCATTTTATGTGATAATACTTTCTCTTTAATTCTATAAACAGATATAATTTCTTCTTCAGTTACAAAGTTCCGCTGTTCAAGTCCTATAATTGCTGCGTCGAGAATACCGACAAATTTGTCAATCGAAATTTTTTCATTTTCAATAACCTCTTCACTATTGGAAGCAAATTATAATGACGAGGAATTTGATTTAAATCATATCATAGACGGAGTACATCGAGATGAAATACTGCATTTAGTAAGGAATTATAAGCCAAATAAAATAAAAACATCTGCCCTGAAGATATGGATAGTGCTGACAGATCAACTTCCAATTTATCGCGCACCGCGGCGTCCCCCCCCCCTGCCGCAGAGCAGCATGAAATTGATAAACAGGTTTCGGAATGGTTAGAGAAACAAAGGATATGCCTTTATCCATTTTTTGCAGCAATTCCACTTTTTGTTTAATAGACTTCGAAACATACTTTCGCTTTGTAGATCCTTTACATATTAGTAAATATATATCGGAAATTCTATTTGACATAATTGGAAGTTCAAGCTTACTTTTATAAAATTGCTCTAACAGTCTGCAAAAAATAATAAGCCAGATCCTATTCGAAGATTAAGCAACAATGCAATCTGCAACATTAACTGAATTAGATAATTTTAGCTTAGCTTATACCGTCCGTTATACATTAAATGCGCATGCACAAACGTATTATGCGCATGCGCACACACATATTCGCAGCTGTAAAGGTCTTACGCGTCAACGCGACGCATGCGCAGAAAGTTTGTAGCTTTGAGGTCTGGATTATAGATTCCGGATTATGGGTATCCGAATTAACGACTTTTGACTGTAATTAATATTCCAACAAGTAGTTAACAGCATTCAAGGGATTCAAATATTCTCTTCGCTTAATTTTTACAATCTTAAGCACTCAAATGAAGTGAATTTGGAAAATTTTATAACTTATTAAAATACTCAAAAATTTATTTGAAAAATTATTAGATAAATGGTAATAAAAAAGGGAGGGAGATGCATGTAATAATTAAAATGAGATGATAAGGTAACAAATTTTGGAAATAATGATAAATAATCATGTCTTTTAAAAAGTAACAGCAATCTAAAAAGTAAAATAACTTTATGGCTGATTGAATAACCATCTAAAAAAGCTACAAAACTTGAAACAAAATCAATTTCAATGAGACTTAAAGCTGCCTAGAAACTGGCATGCCTGAATTAGTTTTTCATACACTATTGCAGTGCATGTCATTTCACTGTTTTCGTGGGAATTCAGCTTTACAATCTTACAATCATATACTGAAGTTAAAATTCTTAAATCACATATTGCCCTCCAATTTCATCTCCCTTTTTTTTTAATTACTTACACATTACACATAATATATAATAGCATCAAAATTATCTTTAGAGGATAGTCACTATAGATAAAAGTAAATTTTGTTTGGAACATTCAAGCAATGCTTTAAGTTAAAAAAGATCAGGTATAATTCAAAAAAGAATAACAGAAAAGAAGAGCAGTAAGTATAAATTCAGTTGCAAAACCTTACATGACAGAAATAACCCTTTCAGATTATTTTGACAAATTTCTCTGGAATTACTTTTATTCAAACTTTTAAAACAAACAGCACATCTAAGAAATTACTTGCATAACAGCATGAAATACTCTATATTAAATACATTTATTTAATATAGAGATATATCTTTACATCTTTTCTGAATGAATCTATTATGAAAAGATATACAAACATGTAAAGGAAAGGTAATGTAAAAATAACTGACCAACCACTCATTCTCAAAAATGTGACGGAAATAAATATAATTAAAAATGAAATATATGGATCTTACCAGCAACATTTATCACAGAAGCAATCCAGTAACGACAAGGGTCTGCCGTACAGCAAGTTTTACAATCAGGACTCCTCATTTCAACAAAAACGCCAAGAGTAATCTTATGCCAACAACTTGAGAGAGCAACCTTTTATATTAAAATACATTCATCTATTTAGTTACTAAAAAATTTAGAATCTTGCAAAAATTCATTAGTATCAAGTATAATATTAACAAGAAAAATATGCTATATATGATGAAGATGAAAATATAACAGCTATCTTTCTGCAAGTTCATCCCTTTCTCAGCTCAAATGATACGGCTTACACATGTTAAAAAACTGTCAGGACTAAGCTACCCCTATAGCAACATCACTCAAACTTCACCCTAGACATTATTTTTGCTTATAAATTTGACGTTTTCATCAAAAGTATCTAAAAAATATTCAAAATAGATTAAATTTAAAGATCCTGGAGCGCGCATTGAAAGAAATGTTTAATAAAGTAAACGAATAAATATTAAGCTTCTTTTTGGTAAATTTTGATATCCTTTAGGTCATATTTGCTCTTTATTTCATAAATTATAGTTTCATATTTTCTATTTTATAATTTCTGCATGCCATCTTACCAGATTTATACTGATGATCTATCTATAATCCGGAAAAATCGATAATCCGGAATTCCTGAAGTCCCGACGAGTCCGGATTTTGACTGTAGTTTGAAAGGAGTATTTTGAAAACAAGCTTGTCAGAGTCAAACTGTATGCAAAATATTTGCTAATTTCTTTAACCCTCTCACCTGCATGGTATTTGAAAAATAAAACCTAAATTTCAGAAAAATGCTAGGAGGTATTTTCTCAGTTTTAATGCCAAAATGCACCTGATACTTTATACTTAGATTTATATACAGGGTGTCCGAATCAAATGTAGTTATTTTGAACAGTCGATTAAAAACCAAGTTTTAGCACTACAAAGGCGATATTGCCACATGTAGGAACTGAATTTTAGAGTCTGACGACAATATTTTTTTCTCACGTCTGACAACCTGCGCTTTTGCTGAGATGACAAATGGAAAAATGGCATCACCGCAAGAGAAGGCACAAACTGTTCTCTGATATGCAGAATACAAATCCGTAGTAAAAGTGCAAAGAATATTTCGAACAGTTTATAAAAGAAATCGACAAAGGGTAAAAGCATAAAAAAGTGGCACAAAATGTGTCTTGAAATGGAAAGTGTATGGAAAATATCTGGAGGTGATCGACATTCACATTCTGATTTACATGTGGAAGATGGGCAGCCAAATGATGGGCCTCAGCTTGCAGCATTTGCTGCAGAGATGTTATCTCTCATCGAAAATGAACACGATTTTCTAAACTGAGTCTTTTTTTTCAGCTGAAGCTACATTTCATGTTAGCAACAAAATTAACAAGCACAACTGCATAATTTGGGGCTCAGAAAATCCCCATTCACTACATGAATTGGAACAGAGCAGTCCAAAAATTAATATTTGGTGTGACATGATACAGTCATAGGACCATTTTTCTTTGCTTAGAAGTCTGTGACAGCAAACATTTATCTGAACATGATACAAATTTATGCAATACCTCAAATGCAGCATTTACAACCCACCATTATCTTCCAACAAGATGGGGACCCTCCTCATTGACGCAAGCATGTTCCCACATTTTTAGATACAACTTTCCCTAACCGATGGATAGGATGTGGTGGCCCAATTGCCTGGCTACCACGATCTCACAACGTGACTCTTCTCGATTTCTTCTTTTGAGGTTATGTGAAAGACAAAGTCTACTTAGGGAACATCCGTGATATTGAAGACCTTCATGCCTCCATAACTCCGGCTTTTGCTACTGTGACTCCAGAAATGCCACACCAGACATGACTGGAACTGGACATTCTCAGGGAAGCTTATGTGGAATTGTACTAAATGTTTAAGAAAAATTTTTTGAGAATCGGTATCTAATTTTACAGTTTTTTTATGCTTTGAAACTCTCTAGTAGCTCTAGTAGAAAGTAGAGTGACCTATCCAAATTAGGTACATTTGATTCGGACACCTGTATTGCCTTAATTTCTTGGATTTATTTCAAGATGCACTTTCTTAAAGATGTTTTAGTTAAAATATATATGCAGCATGTCTGAAGAACAACTGTTTAGCAAATACAATAAAAAAGCAATATCAATAAAAAATTTTAAAAAGGGGGGAAGACTGAATTTTTAACTTTTTCCGAAGAAAATTCAAATTATGTTTGACTTTTATTTAAAAAGCAGTATAAAATCAAATCATACATATTATGTGTGCAAGCACTGATATCCTGAATGTCTTTCATGATAAAATAATACAGAACTTTTCTTTAGTAGTCGAAAGACTGCCAAAGAGAATGTTCAACTGTATGAGTTGGTATGCCTTATATTGGCATGCAATCAGCTGTGTGTGAGCACAAGTTAAAATACAAGAAGGCAATTGTTTTGCAAGAAATCAGCAATTTAAAGAAATCCAAATTTTCAAGATTAGATATATTTCTGATAATGGCTGTTCTTGAAATTATCTAGTCTTTGCTATTTAATCACCTCTCAGATAAGATGAAAAATGTATGCAGTATTAAAAATGGCCAAAGTTAAAAAAAAAGAAAAATTAAACAGATCATTTTTTAAACTTACATGATTAAAGCACGAGACTGGTGCAGCTGAAAAGTTAGGCTTCTTCAAATATAATCTCCAATCAAAGGAACCTTTATGAAAATGTATTTATTTGTATCAAACATAATTAATTTATATAAAAGTATATTTCTGATAATAAATATTTAACAAATATTAATAAATACTCTGAAAAAGAGAAACTAATGAGACATAAAATATTAATACAACTGTTAATAAAAATGTTTCTCTACATATTTTTAATTTTGAAAATCTATAAATGTATGTGATATTTGAAAATTTTTTAAGCAGGTTCATTATTTGATAAAAAATTTATTTACTTATTTTTACTCATAAAATAATTTTTATGACAATTAAGTAATTAGAGGTAAAAAGTGCTGTTCGTATTTTGCATCTTAAAACGACCACTATTTAAAATCAATTAAAAAATTATCAGTACATTTAACATATTTATCATATACTGATGAATTTTATCGCTTGATTTAAGATACAATAAAAACTTTAGAGAATACGAATATTGCAAATTTTTGAGAAACAAATTAAAAATGACTCTGGAATTGCTTTTAAAATAATCAGTTCATCAAAAATCCAATTAATTATGATAAGAATTTTAACATTATACTATGCTAATACAGGTAAACATAAATAAATAAATAAAAAGCATTTCATATTTCTTACATATTACTATCATACATAATTTTTCAGGAAACATAATTTTTTTTTTTCCTTTTTTGGATGCAATTACTTTTTAAATTGACTTAAAAATCAAAATCTGCAGTTATTCTACAGATCTAATAATGACTAGAAACATACATATTTATAACTTCTCCTGGCTACACAAGAAAGGTTAATTCTTACATTATGTGTGCTTACATAAACTTAATTGCATGAAATTCACTGTTAACAGCTGAGATACAAGAAACAAATTGTATGGTGAATGGCAATTGGATCCGAGATAAGAATGTTAAATAAATATAATTTTTTTTTTTAAAGGCATACTTGCATCCAAGAATTTAAATGCTAAAAGAAAATCTTTCTTGAGAGTTTAGAGTCAACTCTTAATGATGGTTTGCTGTTATGAGATGAAAAGCATATCCAAAATGCATTATATTTTAAATATTTTGTTGTTCAACCATTGTTCTTTTAATAAATTATTTGTTTAAGAATTAAATTTAATTACTTTCACACCAATGTTAAAACAAGAAAATGAATAGCAGTTCATGAATCATGAGTAAGATGTATCAAAATAATGAAAAAAATTTCATTATTTTCCACACTTAAAAAAAAATTCAGACAAAGATACAAAACTTAAAAGAATTATATTTAAACAAAATTTAAAAAAAATAATTAAATATGTAAGAGTATTTATTCACATACCACTCATGGTTCCAGTTTTTATAGAAACTGTTTTGCTTCACACAAATAGTCTATAAAAAAGTGAGGAGAGAAGAGGACAGATTAAAACTAACTATATATTTTATAGCACAATATGTAATATACTTGTATACACAAACAAATTTCAAATTACCGGAAATTTTGAGGAAGAAAATGGGTAATGATGTAGCATGCGCTCTACTGCTTTTAATCAAATATTTCTTAGATGACACCACTAAAATGCTATTTTTAAATATGAAAATGAATAAAAATAGCTCAAGCTTTAACTAACTAATTTTCACTTTTTACATTTAATAGAAGAAAAGTCTGGATTCACAGAAACATATTTTGAAGTAAGTAGCTATCTGAAATTAAATATTATAGAAAATTTTTGCATCTGAAGATGTAATTAAGGCAGATTTTAGAGAAATATTTGGTAATGATGTAGCATGCGATTTATTGCTTTTAGTTATTTATTTCTTATATGGCACCACTAAAATGTTATTTTAAAATATATATATGATACTTTTCCATTACGCACGTGGCATGCTTTTTGGTGCCTGTGAAAGAGAAGTCAAACAAACACGTCAACTAACCAGACATAGCAACATCTGAGGACTGTATATAAACAAGATTAATTAAACACACATATATTATTACAATAGTGCAATCAAAATGAATGATATTATCTCCTATTTACTATCTCATTATATATTTCAATTATATATATATATTTAAAAGTGTCTAATTTCTTTTGCTTTATTTGACCTTGTAATTTTTACAAGTGGATATGTCTTTGTATTTTTCTTAAAAAAACTGAGGTTAAAGTAGATTTAAGGGTTCCCCTTGCCTTATCGTGAAGTTGATGTTTCATTTATCGTCAAGTTGTTGTTTCATTTATAGCAACATGAGTAGTTGAATGTTATCCAAACCCCATTATGACGTAATTGGTTGCGTGATTGTAATGAATTTGAATGAAGGGAAAAGATTTGTAAGGGCTTGTGGTGTGTGTTGGTTATGAAGTACATTGCTGTTTTTTGGCTTAGACAGTAAAATGGCTGAATGTGGTAAGATTAATTTGAAGTTTCTGTATGATTTAGAATGAAAGGGGAAAACAGCATTAATTGATTGGTGTGTAAATGAAGGTGTACTTAGTAGCCATTAAAAGTTTCCTGTTTGTTGGAAGGAAATGCGTATGGTCGAATGGTTGGAGGATACTGGCATTACGAAGGATATTTTTGACTTACCTTTGTGAATTTATGTGGCGATGCCAGTATACGGATTCTAGTTCAGATAATTTTATGAAGTTTTTGGATGCTGTTAAGGAATTTTGTTTAACTGAAGACAGGGAAATTTCTAAATAAGGTAAGAGGATATTTCCTTTGTGTAGTGCTAAGAATTTTCTTTTTTATGTTATTTGACTACTTGATTTAAAATGTAGTTTATTGACATTATATATTGATATGTTATTTTCTTCCTTCACGTTTGTAGATTTGGAGTGAATAATGACGACACTCGATGTTATATCGAAGCACACTTTATTGGAAAGTATTTTCAGGACAGCTCCAAAATCATGTTTTACAGTTGTCGAAGATATACTATAAACATGCTGGAATAATCAGCAACACAACCATCAGGCTACCACAGTGAACACAGCTTCACGGCAAAGCACCAGAGTACAGCTCCCAACACTGCTTGATCGTTCTCGGAACTCCACGTACTCTCAAGACTCTCCCTGCTACAGCTCACAATGCACTAGTGTACAGCTCCCAACTCCTCAGTTCAGTCATTCCCAGTGCTCAACACACTCTTTGACGATGCACAAACCATGATACACTAACAGACTCTTTCGGTGCACTTGACGGCCAACTCGGCACTCACTCACTATCAACTTGAAGCACCTGCACGGACTAACTCTCCTCGTACCAGCAGGGTTTATATAGCTTTTGGCTTGAGCTCGAGAACATTCTGGGCTAAACCAGTAAGAATTCGTTTGGGAAGGTTCTCCATCCGTCCACGGTATATAGTCAATTTTGACACCAAATGGACGATTCTTCACCAAATGTGGCAACCCAGCCTTCCCTTGCCATTTTCTGGCAAACATAATGGCAAACTATTCGGTTTTGAGGGCCGTAAAAAATCGCCAAACTATTGTTGATGCCAGTGCTGCGAAAAAAAATTGCGGCAACCCTAATGCAAGAAAGGAAGTATAATAGTACATAACTATTTAAGATTGATGTTTTAATTTAGATGAAGGGTTAATTTCATATAATACCTTTTTATTATTTATAATTTATACAAAAGGCTAAACATGACTGAATGGAAGCATAGGAATAAATAACTATTTCAGATCATTATTATAATTTATAAAAATTGCTAAACATAACTGAATAGATGCCTGCATCGCTAAAGCATAATTTCATCTCTTTGGTTGTTCAAATGTAATTTTCTATAATGAATGATGCCTTTTCTTTGAAAATATTCTCGGTAAAATGCAGAATCGCCCACTTATTTGTTCGCCGCTTTTAGCAAGTGTAAAAACAATTGGATTTTTGTCAATTTTCTTTTACTTTTTAAGTGAAAATAGGTCGATGTGTACATAGATAAAGTCAAAGGTGTGCGCCGTGCCATTTTTGTGCAATTCCAGGATTTTTTTAGGTGAAAATAGGTCGATGTGCACATGGATACAGAGTATGTGCAATTCTTAAAAACGCGTCAAGCAGAGTGTGTTTCTGCTATTTTCCTAAAATTCTACTGCCGACTTTTTTGTCATGTGCTATTCCCAAATTGTTAAATCCATAGGATATCAAAAAAGGATTTAAAAATTAAACTAGTATTTCAACGGCGTCTTAAGAAATATAGAACTATATAAATTTACGCAATCTGAAATCAGCTCGTACCCTAGATTTGGCACTTTTGCGCATACATTATCGCTGCAATTTTTTTACGGTCCTCAAAACGGAATAGTACCCATTATACATGAAAATTTCTGCTACATTTTAATGTATCTGATGTTTGGATGTACATTGGAAGAAAAGGAATCAAGGTACAAAATGAGAGAGTCATTTTTTTAATTAAAATCAGGAAAATATCACTTATTCATGACATATTGAGACACTTTGGAATTTCAGAGCTAAACCCATAACGCTCGGAGGGTTAATCCATTCTTAATACTTTTAAGAAAAGAATTTTCCAAGAGCATTTTTTTTTTTTTTTTTTTTTTTTTTTGTAAAAACCTATAAGCGTTTTGTTCTACAATCTTCCAGATAGTGAAGCCGTTTTTGATAATAGATCTGATATGCTTTTAATTTTATGTCTATGTGCTGATATGTTTTTCCTATACTGCAGTTCATTACCCCTATCAATATCTATGTTAAAGTGTCATTCTTTATACCATACCAATATCCCTGTTACTCTAACATTCTTATGCATTTTGAGAGTGAAAATAAGATTTTAAAAACTTGCTTGTACTTTGACTAGAAATATATGGCCACATGAAATGAATGATGAAAAATTTACAACTTTCTATAAAACATCAATTGTTTATTCTTAATTAATTAAATATCGACTGAAATTAATTTTAAAGCATACTTTTGGAAGCTGAAACATGCATCTTTTTATAACACCTTTATTAGTTTTCTTAATCTTCTTTTAATATACTTTTTGTGAAAGTTCTAAATAGTTAGATGATCTAAATAATCGTTAAAAAAAAGAAATAATATAACAAATAAAGCAATAGTATTACATATAACATAAGATAAAATGACACTATTATAGCTGTATAAGACAAAATAAAAATATTGTAAAAATAAACTGAAAATAAAGTACTTTAAAAAAATGCAACAAACGAGAAAATAATATCTATGGCGATAAAATAAGTCCTTTGTCTGTGCAATCAGTTCAAAAGCATATTTATATTATAAGGATAGAGTCTTTATTTACTGCATATGTATACAATCTAGAAAACAAAATGTAAATTGCCAAAAGTAAAAATTCTTGCCTAAGTTCTCTATATGCTTTGTATGTTGCAGTTCAACAAAAAGTGTCTTCTAGGTCCAGAAAATTTTCCATTTCATGATCTGACAATAAATAATATGGCCCACGTAAATAAAATTTAAAACTAATACGTATCTAAATGCAATGCTTTAAACTCAAATCGTCGGCGCCCCACATTTCAATATTAATAAATAAACACAGCTCTTTCATTGCCATTTCGTTTTCACATAGTGGACTATTTTAAATAAGGCGTGGAATTTAAAAATTTTTAAGGTTTAGTAAGAAATTGTTTGTAAGAAACTGTTCCTTATGAAATTGAATTTATAAGACTGAAGTCAAAATTCTGAAGCTAACTATTTTCCCTCCGATTCAACCTAAATCACGGCCTAAATCCATATCTAAGTTGGCATGCCTAAATTTTCTCACACTGAGTTATTTTTAATGCTTTGTTGGTATCTTATTCTGGTGCATAGTTCTTAGCAGATCAATCAATAAATCCTAATACATACACATCGTATTTTATTCTCGAGTGTCAAAGATGTAGAAACATCTTTTTACTCGGCTTCTGATAACAATCTGGAAGGAAAAGAAAGAAGAATAGCAGAGCCTTCACTCTTGAAGGCTCTTCACATATGTGTGATTATAAAAATTAAGAGCAAATTGGTTTGTCTCTGAGGTCTCAGTGTCGGGAAAACTGGCTATCAAAGTCTGTGTCAAACTCGAGAACTTCTTTCTGATCATTCAAAATCCATCCTATTCAAAGCACTAAAAGAAAGCCATCAGTTTGATGAGGAAATTTAAATGCAGTTTAAATTTACTGAAATCAGTGGTCGTTGAGGCATTATAACTCATCAAAACACAGTACAAAATTTGGCTGCTGAGTATAAAATGTGTCTGGGTGAATGGCCGTCGATTAACGTGATACTGCGTGACTGTGAGTTTGCATTTTTTTAGTAAAATACTGCAAAGAGACTGATGTTCTTATCCTTATCTAAGATCGCTGTAAGTTTCACAGAATTATTATGTGAGGCATTTTCGTAGAACTTTTGATTAGTTCGTTGAAGGTAATCTGAAATCTGCTCAATTTTCAGATCTGCGTGGATACTTTTGTTTCTTACGTAGTAGGGTGTTGTTGTTATTCTTAGGATCTGTTCTGTAGCCTCTGGAGAGTCAGAATGTCTTTTTTACTTGTTTTCGCTCAAGTTGGTGATGCATATGTCAAGATCGGTCTAATGACCGATTTGTAGATTTGCCTTTCCAGTTTAAAGATAGAAGCTGATCTTTAAGAAGTGGGTATAATCGTAAAGTGACTCCCAGTGCCTTGCTACAAACCTTGTTAATATGAGAAGTCCAGGTGAAGTGACTCCTATGTAATTTGAGTTGTTTGCCTTAAAGACTTGTTCCCCGAAGAGAGTGATGTTATTGATTTTGTTCCTAGTGCGGAATTTTCTGATAAGCAACACCTGTGATTTCTCAGCTTGTACGCTAGTTTTCCATTTGGCACATGAATGCTCTATTTCTGAGATTTTCTTCTGGAGCTTAGCTAAAGCATGATTTGGTCTGCAGGATTTAACAAGATAACGGTGCTGTCTGCATAGCAGGCGAATAAGGCATTGTGATGTGTCCGGAAGTCTGGTAAGTCATTGAATAACACAGACTTAAAAATTCTTTGTATTATGAACGCTCTTTGAATCTGAGATAAAATTTAGAAACTTTATCCTGTGGGGCGCAAGACAATGCATGTTTTAATTTAAGAACTTATAGCCCGGCTTTAAAGTCAAAACCCTTCATTTTCTATCATAATATAATTTCTGTTTTGCTCTTTCAATATTGGAATTTCTTCTGCTTCATTAATAATTATCTTAATGTCAGTTAATTTAAATTCTGCCTCAAATTTTCTGCATAAAGAATAGTTTGTCCAAGGGGGTAATTATTTTTCTCTCAAAAAATAGCTCGAATGGAGTTTTGGGGTAGTGTCGTGTTTAGCCGTTCTTAGGACAAAAGCCAGCTCGATAATGCAGCCGTCCCAGCGTCGGTGGTAAGTTTTTACATAACTACGGATTATTTTTACAATATTCCTATTTACGCGCTCGGCCATGTTAGATTGTGGTCGATAAGGGACCATCTTTAAATGGCGCATGCCAAGCCCTGCACATAGATCTTCGAAAATTTGGCTACTATACGGGTCTGATATTACCCTAAGTGGTGCAGCATACTTTAAGATATATTTATGTAGGAAAGAATTAGGTACGGTTTTAGCTGAGGCCCTCGGTTCTTTTAAGGGGGATTATTACTATCCAATTCGGGAAATGATCGACGGTAGCGAGTTAAACATATATTTTTATTGCTTTCACTTTTTGGGTATGAGCCTAAAAATCTATTTCTTTTAGTTAATTTAGAAAAGTAACGTTTATTCTATTTAGATAACCGGCCGGGCTATAATTTACATCATTAACTAATTGGCTGGTATGGCATGACTTAACTCATTCCGTAATAGATTTTTGAAGTTGTGGAAAAAGACCACCTCGCATATTCTCTGCACCGTTTTTCTAACGCCAATATGCTCTGCATCATGTGATTCTTCCAAATTGCTAAGCCGCAAATTGGCTGGGTTAATCTGTCTTAATTCACTATTTGCATTTGCTGTTTTAGTATAAAATAAGAGTTTATCAATTATCTCATAATTTTCTGCTCTATTTCTAATGGCCACTATATCCGAGTGTTCAAATTTTCCTGGTCTTGCAAGTATGCATAAATATATCTAAATTCGTTTGTAATTCGGCAATAATACTTTCACTGCAATCGGAGTTTTTCGTCGTTAACATACAACATTTTATTTCTTTTACCTCTGCGTCTAATTTTATTCGTGATAAGGCATCGGTTAAAAAATTATTTTTCCGGGCGTATATATAATTGTTAAATTGTATTCTTGTAATTTTAGGCCCCATCTGATTAATCGCGGAGACAAATTTTTCCCGGAGTAAAATCGACCCACAGCAGCATGATCTGAGTTATCGGTGCCTTGCCGAAATATGCCCCTTCGACTCCGCTAAAAATACAGCCAATGTTTCTCTCGCTGTAACGTGTAATTATCCTGTGTTTGATTGAGAGTTTTGGGAAAATTGGCCTCGAGCTGATCATTCTGCATTACAACAGCGCCTACCACGTAATCCGAGGCATACGCCGAAATTTCAAGGTTTTCGTCCCTCTCTGGAAATTTTAAAACCGGCGCTTGTATTAAAGCAGTTTTCAATTTCTCAAACGCCGTATTAGCTTGTGTTGACCAAAAAAACCATGCTTTCTTTCTCTGTACTTTTAACAGCCGTTTATTTACGTGTGCAAAGTCCTTTATGAATATTCAAAGTAAGAACACATGTCCATGAATTATGCGAGTTCCTTCTCTGCGTTTGGAGGCGGGTAGTTCTTTATTGCAATTATTTTCGAATCTTCTGTTTGCATGCCCTTTGAGAAATTTTATAGCCTAAGTACCTAAGCTCTTTTACCTCAATTTTACATTTGGCTACATTAAATTTTAAACCTGCTTCTCTTAATAATGCAAAACTTCGTTTAAATCTTTAATATGTTCGTCAATATTTTCACTAGTTACTATTATGACGTCAAGGTAAACAAAGGTGGATTTCCGAGGGCAGGTTATAATATAATATCCATGATGCTCTGGAAGGTCACCATGGCTCCACATAAGCCGAAAGGCATTCTGAGAAAGGCATAAGTGCCTGATTTTGTTATAAAGACAGCCCTTGCCTACATCTTCGGGTTTCATAGCTATTTAAAAGTACCCTGAGGTGAGATCGAGCGTGGTCATAAATTTAGTTGATTTAATCTTTCTTGTTATTTCTTTTTAGTTACAGGTAGTGGGTAAACGGGGTACTTAGTTAAGCTACTTTGTTTTCTATTATCTATAGGAAATCTCCACGATTTTAAATTCGTGGCAGTTAAGTCATTCTTTTTTCGAAATAACACAATCGGAATAGCGTACGGGCTTCTGACAGGCGTGATTATTTTATTTTTGAAAACACATCCTGAATATGCTCTTCAGTTATCTCCTCCTTCGCGCGATCATATCTATAAGGTTTTTGTTTTTACCGGTTTGTTACTTTTAAGTTCTATTTCATGCTGTACAATTTAAGTTATTCTTGGCTTTGCAAATAATAATAATAATAATAATAATAATAAATCAGAAAAAGTTCTTACCAATTCCTCCAATTTTGTTCTCTCTTCCGGTTGCATGTGGTTCAATGCAATACAGGCGTTTGCGCAGCTTTCTCGGGCCTGGGTTACATTTGAAATGTAATTGTGTCCTCCTGGAAATATACTTCAGCTCCAGCTGTTTTTAAGGAAATATATACCTAGATTCACCGAAGCCTGTACATTGCTAACAACAAAAAATATAGTTTTTGGAGACTCATTATTAATCTGTACAATGAATATGGCTTTGCCTATACATATGCACTTTTTACCGTGAGCTGCAATGACTTTGGTTTTGTTACGTTTTTTCCCTTCACTTCACGTTCGTACGTTTACGGGGTTCGTGCGAATTTGAAGTGAATAGCGAGAACAGCATTTGATGAAATATCGAAACACACTTTATGGGTCAGTATTATTCAAACAGCTCCAATAACACGTTTACACAGTCGTCGAAGAACTACAATAAATACGCTGACGCGATCAGCGACACAGCCTTTACACTATCAGGCTATAACGGTGGAGACAGCTTCACTGCAAAGCACCAAAGTACAGCTCCCAACTCTGCTCGGTCGTTCTCGGAACTCCATGTACTCTCGAGACTCTCCACGCTACAACTCGCGATGCGTTCGACGATAGACTAGAGTACAGCTCCCGACTCTTCGGTTCAGCCGTTCCCGGAGCTCAGCACACTCTCTCGACGATGCACTAACCGCGATACACTAACAGACTCTTTCGGTGCACTGGACGGCCAACTCGGCACTCACTCACTATCAACTCGAAGTACTCCACATGGGCTAACTCTCCTCGTACCAGCAGGGTTTATATAGCTTTTGGTTTGTGTTCGAGAACATTCTGGGCTAAATCAGTAAGAATTCGTTCCAGAAGGTTCTCCATCCATCTATGACATATCGACAATTTTGTCGCCAAATGGGCATTTTCTCGCCAAATGTGGCAAATCTGCCTTCCCTCGCCATTTTCTGGCAACCTTCATTGCGGGGAAGCTATCTTACCGTACCTGTACATTTCGTAACAGTATTTTCTACGCTAAATAGTTGATATCTTTTTGAATTCGTTCGAAAAAAATTTTCGGAAATAAAATTTGCTTGCTCCATTGTGTCTGACAAGGCCTCTGTTGGCACATTATTTAGCAAAATTTGAATGACTGGTAAGCCCAATTTTATTTTTTACCACCGTGTTTAAATGTTGATTTATAGGATTTTCATACGAACGGGGTGACTGTACCCTTCGTT